TCACCTCCGTGCTGTCTTCTCGGCATTCCTGCGACCAAACACTCAGAGCTCTGAATGTTCGTGTGGGAGGGGCAGGCTCTGGCCTGGGTCTGGCTTTTGGTGTCTGGGATGGTGGTGTCCTCTCGGAGCATGAACTCCCGAGCTTCTGGCGGGGTCTCAGAGATCGGTCTCAGGCCAGCCAGGGCCCTTTCCAACCACCTGACCTCCAGCAGCCCCAGGCTTGGGCCCAGCACCCCTCCCTATGCTTCAGGGGCTCCCCTCGGCACCCTTGCCACTCTGGCACCTCTAGGATTTTCTCCTTTGCAGGCATCCTGGGTACCCTGAGTGTGCCCTTGGCCAGTCAGCAGGCCTGGTGGACTGAGCCCAGGGTTGCCAGCTCTCCTGTCGGCCTCCAGTGGAGATGGCACAGGGTCCTGCCTGCTGGCAGCCCAGGGACAGGACGGTGCCAGGCCCTGTCTTTGTGGGTGCAGGGGTGCGGTTAGCTGTGTGGGCAGCTGGAGCTCACTTCCAGGCCCTCCTGCCTTTTCCTTGGAAAAAACTCATTTCTTCTCTGTGGCCGTGCAGCAGCCATGTTCCCTCAGGTCCTCCCCATCAGAGGCCTCTGTCCTTTGGAAGATTACCTCTGGGGCGTCGAGTGCGTTGACCAGTGCTCAGGTGGGAGGGGCCCTTAATTGTTTCTGAGTCACGGCGCTTTTGTTGTTTTTTGAGAGAACAGCTTGTCAAAACAGGACGCCAGCCGGACTGAGGTGGTTGCTAAGAAGTGGCTTCACAGCTGTTTCCCATTTGTCATCTTTATGAGAAGAAAGCGCGGTGTTTACAGCTGAGCTTTGCACACTGTCAGATTTTCCCAGCACCCTCGACAAGTGCAGGAGCCCGGCTTCCTCGCCTCGGGCTGTCCTGGGCGTCTGGAGAGTGTCCATTCCCCAAGGCCGAGCCTGCTCTGGGACTGGGCTCTGCCCTGCTGAGTGGCAGGAGTGACCTCCCTATGTTGGTGGGAGCCATGGCAGTGAGCAGGACAGGCGGCTGTCTCTGCGCCCAGGGACCTTGTCACCAGAATATGCATGTCCTCTTGGCTTTGGGGACGGGGCCTCATGTGATCACATCTGGGGGCCCTGGAGCATCTCCTGGCAGCCTGGAGGAGTCAGGAGGTGTCTCCCTGCCTCTCACTCTGACCTGGAGAGGTGGATGACACCTCGGCTGCTGCTCGGGCCTGTGTGTTGAGGGCTCAGTGCCGGGTGGATCCAGGCTGTGGCCCACGGCAGCAGGTCCCCTCCCTTGGTGCCGGCAGTCTCTGGGGTCTCTGGGCAGGGGCATGTCCTGGGGCTCAGGTCGAAATGCCTCTCCTAGGTGGTGGGCACATCAAAGAGGTTATCGTGGCTGCTGAGGCAGAGCCAGGGGACAGCGAGATGGCCGAGGCCCCGGGTAGCCCCCACCCTCAGGGGCTGGGGCTCGCAGGGGACAGCGAGCAGGCCCAGCTGAAGCTCCTGGTGAACAAGGACGGCCGCTACGTCTGTGCGCTGTGCCACAAGACCTTCAAGACGGTAAGCTGGTGTTCAGGGAGCCAGTGTGTGGGCGGCAGGCCCCATCCTGTCCCCCTCAGGAAGGCCCTGAGCTGCCCTGCCCTCCCCCACAGGGCAGCATCCTCAAGGCCCACATGGTCACTCACAGCAGCCGCAAGGACCACGAGTGCAAGCTCTGCGGGGCCTCCTTCCGCACCAAGGGCTCGCTCATCCGGCACCACCGGCGGCACACGGGTGAGCTGGCCCTGGGGTGCCCTGACACTGGCCCTGGGGTACCCCGGCCTCGAGTTCCCCAGCTTTGGGGGAGGAGGCAGGGCCCCCGCCTGCCTTCCCCTTGTCCTCTTGTCACCAGCCTGCGGGGCTGCCCGGGACTGCCTGGGTTCTCTCTGCAGATGAGCGCCCCTACAAGTGCTCCAAGTGTGGGAAGAGCTTCCGGGAGTCGGGCGCGCTGACCCGGCACCTCAAGTCTCTCACCCCCTGCACGGAGAAGATCCGCTTCAGTGTGAGCAAGGACGCGGCCATCGGCAAAGAGGACGCGCCTGCAGGTCAGTGTGACGGGGGCAGCTGCCTGGTCCCAGGGGCTGGCTGTGGAACCAGCTGCCGCTGGGGTGTGAGGGATCTTCACTCCCTCACTCTGCCTTGAAGGGCCTGGAGCTGGAACTGCAGCCTTGGGGACAGTCACATCACCGGTGACAGGCGAGCCCCTAGAGACCTCACCTGTGATTCACCTGGTGACAGATGCCAAGGGCACCGTCATCCACGAAGTCCACGTCCAGATGCAGGAGCTGCCCCTGGGCATGAAAGCCCTGGCCCCAGAGGTGGGGGCCGGCAGGGGAGCCCCGTAGGGCAGCTGTCTTCTGTCCGCTCAGTGCCGGTCTTGGTTCTGGGCACTAGCTCCAAGGGTCTGGGCCAGGCAGGCGAGGGCTGGGCTTCCCGTAGGGAGAGCAGGGCCAGTGGGAGCGACATGGGGCTCCAAGGGTTTGCACAAGGCCCCTGGCGTGGGTCTGTCCCATGGGATGGTTGAGGGTGGGTGCCGGATGCCAGGCTGCTCGCCAGCCTCCTCTCTCTGCCTCCCCTGCAGGCCCCCATCTCCCAGGAGCTCCCCTGCTCCAGCGACAGCAGCCGTGAGAACCTGCTGCACCAGGCCATGCAGAACTCTGGCATCGTCCTTGAGCGCGCTGCGGGGGAGGAGGGTGCCCTGGAGCCAGCCCCTGCTGCCGGGTCCAGTCCCCAGCCCCTGGCAGAGGCAGCCCCACAGCTGCCGGTACTGGAAGTGCAGCCGCTGGAGACAGTAGGTGCCACCTGCAGGCCCCTCTCCTGGGCTGGACCCCGGGGACTGTCCCCATGCTGGCCTTTGCAATTCCTGCAGTGACTTTGTCCACTGATCTGTTTACTACCTTCCCTGGGGCTGCGAGGGAGCCTGCCAGGGTGGGGCCTACAGTTGGGTCCTTGGCACTGCCAGGGGACAGCCTCTCCCGGGTGCTGGAGGCCTTCCTGTGGTTCCCCAGCAGGTGGCCAGCGAGGCCTCAGCGGTGCCCAGGACCCACCCATGTCCTCAGTGCAGTGAGACCTTCCCGACAGCAGCTACCCTGGAGGCCCACAAGAGGGGCCACACCGGTGGGTGATGGGTGGGTGTGTGGCCCACGGCAGTGGATGGCTTGTAGGTGGCCGGGGTGCCTGTGGGTGTTCAGCGGGGAGCCAGGGGAGCTGTGGGCAGGTGGCAGGTGGCCGGGCGGGTCCGCAGGTGGTAGGCCTGGCCTGATGTTGTGTGTGGCTGCAGGACCGAGGCCGTTCACCTGCACGCAGTGTGGCAAGGCCTTCCCCAAGGCCTACCTGCTCAAGAAGCACCAGGAGGTGCATGTGCGTGAGCGCCGCTTCCGCTGTGGGGACTGCGGGAAGCTGTACAAGACCATTGCCCATGTGCGCGGCCACCGGCGCGTCCACTCAGATGAGAGGCCCTACCCTTGTCCCGAGTGTGGCAAGCGCTACAAGACCAAGGTGAGTCTCTGGCCCCAGGACCCTGGCGCCTGACCCCCTGGCCCTGCCCAGGTGCACCCCCTTCACTGCCTTCACCCTGCTCAGTCTTGACCCTGGGCCCAGAAGCGGGAGGGGAGAACTGTAGTCTGTTGTGGCTGAAGCCGGGCCGGCACTGAGAGGCGTCCCCACAGAATGCGCAGCAGGTGCACTTCCGGACACACCTGGAGGAGAAGCCACACGTGTGCCAGTTCTGCAGCCGGGGCTTCCGAGAGAAGGGCTCGCTGGTGCGGCATGTGCGGCACCACACGGGCGAGAAGCCATTCAAGTGCTACAAGTGTGGCCGTGGCTTCGCGGAGCACGGCACGCTGAACCGGCACCTGCGCACCAAAGGTCTGGTCCAGTGGAGGCGGGAGCGGGGGCAGGAGCAGGCTGGTGCTGGCCAAGCCCTGACAGAGTCCCCCCCCAGCAGGGGGCTGTCTGCTGGAGGTGGAGGAGTTGCTGGTGTCCGAGGAGAGCCCTGCGGCAGCCACCACTGTTCTCACAGAGGACCCGCACACGGTGTTGGTAGAGTTCTCGTCCGTGGTGGCCGACACCCAGGAGTATATCATCGAGGTGGGTGTGAAGCCCTGGGGCTGGGATGGGACCCTGCGGCTGCCAAAGCTGACCTCTGCCCTTTTGCCCATCTGCCCAGGCCACTGCGGATGATGCGGAAACCAGCGAGGCCACGGAGATCATTGAGGGCACCCAGACGGAGGTGAGGGGTGGGGCGGGCAGAGGCGGGGAGGCTCCCTGGCGCAGCCGCTCTCGCTGAGCTGTGGCCCCGCAGGTGGACAGCCACATCATGAAAGTGGTGCAGCAGATCGTGCACCAGGCCAGCGCCGGCCACCAGATCATCGTGCAGAACGTCACCATGGATGAGGAGACGGCGCTGGGCCCAGAGGCGGCTGCCTCCGACACCATCACCATCGCCACTCCTGAAAGCCTGACGGAGCAGGTGGCCATGACGCTGGCCTCGGCCATCAGTGAGGGCACTGTACTCGCTGCCCGAGCAGGGGCAAGTGGCACCGAACAGGCCACTGTGACCATGGTGTCATCAGAGGACATCGAGATCCTGGAGCATGCGGGCGAGCTGGTCATCGCCTCGCCGGAGGGCCAGCTGGAGGTGCAGACAGTCATCGTGTAGCATGGGGCCTGTGGGGACCCAGCAGGGCAGGGACAGGGCAGAGGACTCTGAGCGCCCCCGCCCACACCTGCCTGGTTTGGTAGAGAAGGCACAGAATGGCGTGGCCCTGAGGTGGGCAGTGTACATAAGAGTTTCCTGTTGCTTTACAATAAAACATGAGAACCTGCAGCTTGTGATCTCCTTGCAGCAGCCTCCACAGCTGGTGCCACTACCTTTGCCCGGGGCCTGGCAGCAATACCTGCTTCCCAGGCCACCCCTAAACTCACGTGCCTGGCCGCCCCACCCAGGAGCTCCTGCCAGCCCTGGCGGCACCCTGTTGGCGCGTGGGTGTCATTGGCATGTTGGCCAACAACCTCCTGCCCTACCCAGCTGGAGCCATCCCCTGGCCACCTGAGGCCTGCAGGGTGGGTGGGAGGACCAGGGATGGGGACGGAGATCGGGAGCCTTGGCCTCCGTCGCAGGGTGAGCAAGAGATGCTTGGCTGGGAGTACGGCTGGTCCTTGGTGCGCTGCCTTTTTTTTCCTGAGGGGATTCTACTCAGGGAGGCAGAGTCTAGGTGACCTCGTTTCTAGGGGCAGGACAAGAACAGCCAGGACGGGGATGTGGCCGTTGCCGTCTACCTCCATCCTGGGGAGCTGACAGGGGCTTCTGGGAAAGGCCTGGGGTACCAGAGCCAGCTAAGGCAGGTCTCCCACCCCTTACCCTGGGGGTCTCCATGGGAATGAGAGCCGGGAATTCATGGGCACCCAGCTCAGTCGAGGAGGCGGGACCCAGTGCAGCCTGGCCCCTCCCTGCATCAAGACCTCAAATACTGGCCCCTGCCCTGGTGCCAGAGCTGCTGCCAGAGAGTCAGCGCAGTCCTGTGTCGGGTGTGCCCCCAGCCTAGACCAGGATCCCCATTCCTCCAGGACCCCTGAGCCTTAGGCCGCAGCGCCCACATCCCAGGTGAGTCTCCTGGCTGCGCCCAGCTAGGGCTGGATGGGCTGGGCCCTCTATTCGGGCTGCGGCTTCTCGCGCAGTGGGAAGGCAGCGTCGCTGAGAGCCCAGCAGTGCCCTGGGAGCCTGCAGAGAGCGGGGTCAGATGCGGCTTCGCACTGGCCGGCACGGGGCGGCCGCGGAGGAGAGGGGTGGGTCGGTGGGTCTGACAACGGGTCTGCGTAGGCGGCCGCGTCTGTCCCCCTCAGCCCCGCGCTCCCCTCCATGGGCTGGCCCCGGGCTCTGCTGGCCACGCTCTGGGCGCTGGAAGCCGCCGGGGCCGCGGCGCTGCGCATCGGAGCCTTCAACATCCAGAGCTTCGGGGACAGCAAAGTGTCGGATCCGGATTGCGGCCGCATTATCGCGAAGGTGGGGCCCAGGCCGGGGCAGGGCGGGGTTTGGGGGTGCTGACCGCGCTGACCCCCCCACCCTCCACCCCTTCCCAGATCCTGGCTGGCTATGATCTCGCGCTGGTGCAGGAGGTGCGAGACCCGGACCTCAGCGCCGTGTCCGCGCTCATGGAGCTGATCAACAGGTGTGGTGGGCAGGGCCCCTCGTCGCGACCCTCGGCTGGGATCTTGCCCCGGCGCGGCGCCCTGACCCCGGACTGGCCCGTTTCTCCGTAGCGTGTCCGAGCACGAGTACAGCTTTGTGAGCAGCCAGCCCCTGGGCCGGGACCAGTACAAGGAGATGTACCTGTTCGTGTACAGGTGAGGGGGGCGCACAGGGAGGGGCGCGCGGGGCGGAGGAGGTGGGGGGCTCAGCGGGCCCCCCATCTCCTAGGAAGGACGCGGTGTCGGTCGTGGACACCTACCAGTACCCGGACCCTGAAGACGCATTCAGCCGCGAGCCCTTCGTCGTCAAGTTCTCGGCCGCTGGTCTAGGTGAGCGGGGCCCCGGCCCCTCCCCTTCCGCCGGCCCCAGCCCTCCCCTCCTCCCGCCCCTGACGGCCCCACCCCTTCCCGCAGCTGCGCGGGAGCTGGTCCTGATCCCGCTCCACGCGGCGCCCCACCAAGCCGTGGCGGAGATCGATGCGCTCTACGACGTGTACCTGGACGTGATCGACAAGTGGGGCATGGACGTAAGCCCACCCCTCGGTCCCGGGGTCCCTGCAGGCACGGCCCGGGGTCTGGGCCATGAGGGCGGGACCTGGTGTCTTGGGGGCGGCTCAGACCCGGCTGCGCGGCGCCCCCAGGACTTGCTGTTCCTTGGCGACTTCAACGCGGACTGCAGCTACGTGCGGGCGCAGGACTGGGCCGCCATCCGACTGAGGAGCAGTGAGATCTTCAAGTGGCTCATCCCCGACAGCGCCGACACCACAGTGGGCAACTCGGACTGCGCCTACGACCGGATCGTGGCCTGCGGCGCCCGCCTGCGCCGGAGCCTGAAGCCCCAGTCGGCCACCGTGCACGACTTCCAGAGGGAATTCCACCTGGACCAAGCTCAGGCAAGTGGGTCGTGGGGTAGCTTGGGCCCTGGGTCCCCACCACCCTGGCACAAGCAGGCAGCAGGGAAGAGGCCAGCGCCAAGACCGGCCCCCCTCAGCTCTCCTTCCTGCACCAGGGCTAATTTCCAAGGACCTGGCAGATCCTGCCCCAACCCATGTGGAGCTCTGGGCAGGCAGGGTACCTTGCCTTTCCCTCACAGAGCCAGTGGTGACCCACTCTGCCCCTGTCCCACCACAGGCAGCAGCAGGGGTGGGCACCCCGGCCTCCCCGGCCCCTCCCTGAGAGGCGGTGGCTTGTGGACATCCAGTGGGCCCAGCCTGGTGGGTGGGTGGGGGGCGTTTCCAAGGTGGAGCTGGGGGGAGGCCTGCTGAACAGCGCCCCTGAGGCTCACTGTCTCCCCCCAGGCTCTCGCCATAAGTGACCACTTTCCGGTGGAGGTGACCCTCAAGTCACACCGATGACCTGAGGCCTGGCTGGGATATGCCACCTGCAGACGCTGGCCTTGAGGAATGGCCCCATAGTGGCCCCTTCAGCATGGCAGCCACCCCTCAGTGAGGCCCCAAGGCAGGGTCTGTGGGGCATGGACCAGGGGCCATGGACACATGACGGGCTGCTCCGAGCCTCCGTTCCCCATCTGTGAGATGAGCTACATCCACCAACCTCATGGGGTGTTGTGAGGAGCCCCACAAGGGGTGCCAGGCACACTGCCTCACAGACATCTGCTCAATAAACGAGCTGCTCCCAGCTGGGCCCCGCAGCTTGGCTCTCAGGCCTCTGTCCTTCCTTAGGAACCAGCCTGTCTGCAGCCCCACTTCCCTGAGGGTTCTGGGCCATGGCCTGGCCTGCCCTCCCTGTGCCCTGGTAGAAGCTAGCCACCCTCAGACCCTGCTGGCCCCAGAAGGCAGCTCAAGGACGCTCCTTGCTTGTCCTCTCTGAAAACCACAAATGCTCCCAGGAGCCTGGACTTACTGTGAGCACAGCTGGGACAGGGATGGTGCTGACACCAGCCTCCCAGGCCCTCAGGGGTCTCAAAGAGCTCTCCCCATTCCAGGGCCCTGCAGGGAACCCCAGGCACTTGTCTGTCTCAGGGGCCTAGTCTCACCCAGCATTGCAAGGGGAGGTCGGCACCACACCCCAGATGGTCAGCCCCACTAGAGCTTTTGGGGAGCCTAAAGCAGTGGGGCGGCTGGACTCCTCTCCCTGCCCAAGCAGGTGGCTAGGGACTAAGGTCCCGCACAGCTTGCTGCGGCTCAGCCCTTCAAGGGTGCTGCCCTGTGCCCTGGGCAAGGCCACCACACTGACAAACAGGCAGGCCCACGGGTCTCCTGGGTCACTGATGGGGCCCGATGAAGTTTCTGGATTTTATTTGTTTGTTTATTTTAAAGACGGGGTTTCACCATGATGCCCAGGCTGGTCTTGAACTCCTGACTTCAGGTGATCCACCCACCTCAGCCTCCCAAAGTGCTGGGATTACAGGCGTGAGCCAGTGTGCCCGGCAGTTTCTGGTTTTTGAAACATCACTTCTGACCAGCATTTGGGAACCTGGTCTGAATCACATGGGAGGAAACACGTTTGTTTCAGGGCTTTGGATGAGTTGTCTCACTGGTGCCCAGGCTGGAGTGCAGTGGTGCAATCTCGGCTCACCTCCGCCTCCTGGATTCAAGCAATTCTCTGCCTCAGCCTCTTCAGTAGCTGGGATTACAGGCACTCACCACCAGGCCCTGCTGATTTTTGTATTTTTAGTAGAGATGGTGTTTCACCATGTTGGCCAGGATGGTCTTAAACTCCTGACCTCAGGTGATCCACCTGCCCTGGCCTCCCAAAGTGCTGGGATTACAGGCATGAGTCACTGCACCTGGCCATGCAAAATCCTTAAGGGACACTCGAGCCCTGGCAGCATAGCTTCCTCCAGAGTCCCACTCCTGCCCACTACGGATCCCCCAGTTGCTCCGATTCGCGGTCCACTCTTCATCCAGATGAATAAGGGCAGCGGCCAAAGGGTTTTCTCTGGGGGGTCCTGTGTGGGTCATGGGGGCAAAGACCACCTGGGCTTACACCTAAGAGCGGGCAGTCCAAAGGCTGGGGTGGATGACCAGGGACTTGATTTACGATTCCGCCTTGGGAATGGAGACACTCAGTGGTGACCTCACCAGGTCCAGAACGGTGCCCCCTGCCAATCACAATGCCAAGTCAAAAGGCTGCCCTCCAACCCCCCTTGCCTGCTGGGCACAGGCACCCGTATGTGTGTGTTGGGGGGAAGACGAGGAACAGGACCTTCTCTGTAAGATCAGCAAAACAAAACGCTGGCGGTACTTTTAACTTGCAGAATACCTTGTTTACGATCCCACCGGGACCCAGAGCGCCTGTGGCAGCCCAGCTGTTAGCCTTTCTTTTGTTTGAGCCTCTCTAAGTACAGCTGCAGGGACTTCTGGATGGAGTCTCTGGAGACGAAGCTGACAAAGTTCTGCACGTCCTCGTCGCGATGCGTGATCAGGCGGCTGGCTGTGGCCTTCCGCATCATGGCCTTGGTCAGCTGCCGGGCGTGGTCTAAAGGAAACAGGGCCCACCACTGAAATCCCACTTTTGAGGCAGCGGGGTGACTCCCGACTTACTTATTTTTGAGACACAGTGTCCCTCTTGTTGCCCAGGCTGGAGTGCAGTGCTGCAATTTCAGCTCATGGCAACCTCCGCCTCCTGGGTTCACGCAATCCTCCTGCCTCAGCCTCCCAAGTAGCTGGGATTACAGACATGCACCACCACGCCGCCTAATTTTATATTTTTAGTAGATGGGGTTTCTCCATGTTGGTCTGGCTGGTCTTGAACTCCTGACCTCAGATGACCCACCTGCCTCAGCCTCCCAAAGTGCTGGGATTACAGGCGTGAGTCACTGAACCTGACTTTATTAAATTATTTATTTATTTGAGACGGAGTTTCGCTCTTGTTACCCAGGCTGGAGTGCAATGGCGCGATCTCAGCTCACCGCAACCTCCGCCTCCTGGGTTCAGGCAATTCTCCTGCCTCAGCCTCCCAAGTAGCTGGGATTACAGGCACACGCCACTGTGCCCAGCTAATTTTTTGTATTTTTAGTAGAGACAGGGTTTCACCATGTTGACCAGGATGGTCTTGATCTCTTGACCTCGTGATCCACCCGCCTTGGCCTCCCAAAGTGCTGGGATTACAGGCGTGAGCCACCGCGCCCGGCCCTTATTTTTTATTTTTTGAGATGGAGTCTTGCTCTGTCGCCCAGGCTGGAGTCCAATGGTGGAATCTTGGCTCACTACAACCTCTGCCTCCTGGGTTCAACTGATTCTCCTGCCTCGGCCTCCTGAGTAGCTGGATTAGCCCCCAAACCCGGCTAATTTTGTATTCTTAGTAGAGATGGCGCTTTCCCACGTTGGCCAGCTCGTCTCAATCTCCTGACCTCAGGTGACCTGCCTGCTTCCCAAAGTGCTGGGATTATTACAGGCATGAGCTACTGTGCCCAGTCCTATTTTTTTATTTTTTATTTTAAAGAGACAGGATCTTCTCTGCTGCCCACACTGGACTGTAGTAGGTTAACCATGACTCACTGCACCTTTGCGTTCCTGGGCTCAGGTGATCCTCCCACCTCACCCTCCTGAGTAGCTGGGACTACCGGTGTGCACCACACTGCCTGGCCAATTTTTGTAAACAGAGGATGTCTTATGTTGCCCAGGCTGGTCTCCAACTCCTGGGCGCAAGTGATCGCCCTGCCTCAGTCTCCCAAAGCGCTGGGATTACAGATGTGAGTCACTGCACCTGGCCCACTCCCACCCTTGCTAAGTGGGAGAAAACCCACAGTTTCTGTCCACTGATGATACCGTAAAGATCGTGTTTTTTTAATGTGTTACTTTCACTCAATTATCTGATGAAGAATATTTCCATGGCACTAAATAACCTCTGACAGCACAGGAAATGGCAGCACGGCCTTCCGTCACTTGTATCAGGGTTGGTAAATCTGCTCCCCAAGGCCCTGAAGCTATAATGGTTTTTACTTTTTTTTCTTTTTCTTTTTTTTTTTTGAGACAGAGTCTCTCTCTGTTGTCCAGGCTGGAGTGCAGGGGAGTGACCTTGGCTTATTACAACCTCCGCCACCCAGGTCAAGCGATCTCCTTGCCTCGGCCTCCAGGGTAGCTGGGGTTACAGGCACTTGCCACCACACCTGTCTAATTTTTATATTTTTAGTAGAGACGGGGTTTTGCCGTGTGGGCAAGGCTGGTATCAAATTCCTGACCTCAGGTGGTCCGCCCCCTCAGCCTCTCACAGTGCCGGGATTACAGGTGTGAGCCACCGAGCCTGGCTTGTTCTTACATTTTTGAATAGTTGAAAAAAGGTTAGTACTTTGTGACAAGTGAAAATTATGTGAAACTCAAATTTCGGTGTCCATAAATTTTTTTTTTTGAGATGGAGTCTTGCTCTGTCACCCAGGCTGGAGTGCAGTGGCACAATCTTGGTTCACTGCAACCTCCACCTCCCAAGTTCAAGTGAGTCTCCTGCCTCAGCATCCCTAGTAGTTGGGATTACAGGCACGTGCCACCATGCCCACTAATTTTTGTATTTTTAGTAGAGACGAGGTTTCACTGTGTTGGCCAGGATAGTCTTGAACTCCTGACCTCAAGTGATCTGCCCACCTCGGCCTCCCAAAGTGCTGGAATTATAGTGTGAGCTGCCGCGCCCAGCCCAGTGTCCATAAAGCTTTGTGGGAACACAGCGACACCCATTAGTTTACGTCTCCCCGGGGCTGCTTCTGCTACAAAGGTCTTACCTACAGAGCCCACAAGCCCCCTGGCCCCCTACAGACACCATGCTGGGCCTGGGTCTACACTGTTGCTGACATGGCCAGCCCTATTTCTATGAAATGGACAACTGTCTTTGTAGTAGGTTGAAAAGTGTACCCCAAAAGCCAGGTCCACGTCCTAAGCACTGCTCTGGAGCCTGGAAGTGTGACCTTGTTTGGAAAGCGTCTCTGCAGAGGTAATTAAGTTGGGATCATCTTGAATTGTGGGCAGGTCCTAAATCACATGACAGGCGTCCTGAGAAGGGAGAGAGATCTGAGACCCAGAGAAACCCAGGGGAGAAGCCACGTAAGGATGGAGAGAGTAGAGGAGGCGTCCATGAGCCCTGAAGGCCTGTAGCCGGAAGCGGGCCGGGGCAGACGGGGCCCTCCCTGGAACCCGGGGAGGGAGCGCAGGCCTGCCCACATCCCGATTTTGCACCTCTGGTCTCCAGCACCATGGCATCCACTTGTGTGTCTGAGCCCGCTGGTCTGTGCTGCGTTGTTGTCCCGACACCCACACGCTGTGATTATGACATCCACAGAGAACCTTTGCATGGAGAGCCTTCTGGTCTCCCCAGCGTCACTGGGTGCTCACCACGCCCTGCGCCTCACCTGGAATGGCCAACCACTGGGCTATCGCCGACAGTGCCATGCTCTGCACCTGCTCCTCCGGCACCACCTGGTCCACTATGCCCACCTGCAGGGCCTGCGCCGGCGGGAAGAGCAGCCCCAGCTGCAGGGCGCGCTCGGCTGCCCGGTGCCCGATCGTGTTTATCAGGGTGTCTTTGAACCTGGAATGCAGGCACCCGCTCACCAAGTGGCCCCAGGCTCCCAGGCGTGTCTGTCCCTTCCACGGCAAGTGTGGCATGTGGCTGCAGCCCAGGGCCTTACCAGAAAGGGGCAACAATGCCCAGTAGGGTCTCATTGAGTCCTATGCTGTACTTGGGGTTGTCCGCCAGGACGCGGTGGTCAGAGGTCAGGGCTATCAGGCAGCCTCCGGCGGGGCAGGCTCCCTGCAGGGAGAGGCCAGATGGGGCTCTTAGGTGCTGCTGGTTCCAACTTCATTCCAGAGGGCCGTGCCCTTGGGGCACCCCTACCCCCCAGGGCCCTGCAGCCATAGTCTGAGCTAGGTGTACACTTGGAAATGGATGGGGAGGGAACTGGCCATTTAGGGCTTCACAAGGAGGGTCTGAGGCTCGTCTTCAGCCAAGGGTCATTAGCTCTTAGGGGACAGAAAAATCACTTTTTAAAACCTTTCAGTTAGGGGAGCAAGTTGCTTGTCCTCTCAGAGCTTTTACTCAATGCTAAAATGCCACACAAGCATTTAGCCAGAGCTGTCATGCCCTGAGGGGGTCCCGTTACCATCCCCAGCAGCCAGTGCCACCACGATGTCCTGGGAACCCCACACTCACCCTGTTGTCACTGCAGACACCCACTGCCCCGCATGGGACCTCACATCTGTCTGCAGCATCCTTCAGGTCTCCTCTCACACCAGCCCTCCCCTCCGCCAGGATCTACCCACTCCCAGCTTGTTACAGCCACCCTGAAGGACACCCTGGTTCCCGAGGTTGAGCCCCCACATTGTTCTTAGCCTCCCCAACCTTCCCCCTGGAAGGGATGGAGTGATGTTTCCAAAATGTGAATGCGATCACCCACTTACACAGCTTCCACCTGGGCTGGTGTCAACCCCAGGCCCTGGTCCCCACCCCCTGGCTCTTTTCTGGGACTTGTCTGACCCAGGCCAGGCCCCTCACCTGAGGCCCACCTTCCCCTTTTCAACACGCCATGGGGTCTTCAATGGTGCACTCACCTGTGCACGCCTCAGGGTCCCCCACTGTCCCATTCCCCTAGGAGAAAGGGTCTCCCCCACTGTGGAGGGCAGGACAGTGTGTCTCATCCCCCAGGGCTGGCCCAGGAGAGGGCCAGCAAGGCCACCTGGGAGTGGGGACACTCACGTTGATGGCAGCGACTACCACCAGGCTGGACTGGTAGAGCCGCAGCCACAGCTCCTGCACGGCCTTCCAGTACTCGGCGTAGTGGGCGGGGCTCCTCCCGCACATCTCCGTCAGGTCCAGGCCAGCCGAGAACACGCCGGGGCGGTCCTGCAGGGGAGCCCGGGGCAATGTACCTGTCAAAGTCCAGCTGGTCTCACAGCAGCAGGGCCAAGAGCCCGGGTGCCCAAGGCATAGCAGGGCCAGGTCACACCCAGGGTGCTGGGTGCTGCCCCCACGGAGCCAGGACTGGGTGGTCTAGGGACTCGGCCTAGGCCTCTGCGGGAGCTGGTTTCCCTGTGCTTCTCAGAACATTCTTCCCTTTCCCAGTTCAAGCCGGACAGGAGATGACAGGCAGGGTCAGGCATCGCCCCGGGGACACGAGTGCGCCGGCCCTCTGGCTCTGCACGCGCGGCTCGGGCAGAGGAACCCAGAGGTGCGGCGAAGACTCCTGAGAGCCCAGAGCGGGTGCACGTTCTCAGTCATTCACCCACAAAGGGCCAAGCGAGCCTCGGAATCCCGTGTGGACCAGCAGGGTGGGAGAACAACCTGCAAGGTGTGGGTTCTTCAGCAGCTACAGAGGAAGGGCGAGCGGTGAGCACAGGTGTAAGGGACCCTCCCACGGCTAGAGAAGTGGGTGCCGGCACAGGAGCCTGGATACCCAGTCAGGGCTGCTGGCCAGGGACGCAGGCTCGGGGAAGGGTGCAAAATCCACGCTGGGGCCCCTGCGTGGTCACAGCCCCCTGAGCAAACGACGAAGGTGCCTCCTCCTCCCAAAGCTGTGAGCGGACTTGTTCCTGCAGCCGGACCCAGCTCACCCTGACTCACAGAAGCAGAGCTGGGCGGATGTTTACCCCACACCGTATGCAGGAAGGAGGTCGACAACCACCTAATGTGTGTGAGGAGGAGGGGCAGGGACAGATGGATGCCCTCCACATCCTTAGGTCGTGTGAAAAAGCCCGGAGCAGCGTGGGCTTGCAATGCAGCTCGGCCGTTCTCACACAGACGACGTGAGCTGGTGCCGTGCAGAACGGGTAGGCCGGTCCTTTGTTTCTGCAAAATGCAGAAACTTCTGTCACTCAAGACCCAGGCCTGGCTGGGGCTCATGCCTGTGATCCTAGAGTTTTGGGAGGTCAAGATGGGAGGACTGCTTGAGGCCGGGAGTTCCAGACTAGCCTGGGCAACATAGCATGACCCCATCTGTACAAAAAGTTAAAACTGAGCAAAAAAAAAATTAACCGCCGGGCGCGGTGGCTCAAGCCTGTAATCCCAGCACTTTGGGAGGCCGAGGCGGGTGGATCACGAGGTTAAGAGATCGACACAATCCTGGTCAACATGGTGAAACCCCGTCTCTACTAAAAATACAAAAAATTAGCTGGGCGTGGTGGCGCGTGCCTGTAATCCCAGCTACTCGGGAGGCTGAGGCAGGAGAATTGCCTGAACCCAGGAGGCGGAGGTTGCGGTGAGCTGAGATCGCGCCATTGCACTCCAGCCTGGGCAACAAGAGCGAAACTCTGTCTCAAAAAAAAAAAAACAAAACAAAATAAAACAAAATTAACCAAGTGCAATGGCTCACACCTGTAATCCTAGCAAACCAGGAGGCTGACATGGGAGGAGCGCTTGAGCCCAGGAGCTCAAGACCAGCTTGGGCAACACAGTGAGATACTGTCTCTACCAAAAACTTAAACATTTTTAAATTCTTCAACATTCAAGAATCATCTGAACCCAGGAGGTGGAGGTTGCAGTAAGCCAAGATGGCGTCACTACACTCCAGCCTGGGCAACAGAGGGAGATTCCATCTCAATAAATACGTAAGGCCAGACGCGGTGGCTCATGCCTATAATCCCTGCACTTTGGGAGGCTGAGGCAGGTGGATCACTTGAGGTCAGGAGTTCCAGGCCAGGCCCTGTAAAGCCACCCGAGCCTCCAAGGATGCCTCGCTCCCCTGCCTTCCACCATGGTCTTCCCCTCGGGGTCCCATCCTCCTGGGCCTGAAAAGACGCTGCTCATTGCCCCTCCATGACCTTGGTAATGAAGCTGTTCCCACAGATGCCACGCCTCGTGTTTGCCAGCACTCAGGCAACGCCCAGAGTCCCCTGCACAGGAGCTTAGACCAAGGAGATTCACCCCTCTGAGAACTCGGCCTGAAGGCCAGCCCACAGAGGACCAGCGAGCATGGGCACTGTTCGCGGGCCTGGCTCAGGGCACCCAGGTCGTACTAGTGGGGAGCACCCAAGGACCCCACAGACGGATGGCTCCCCCTCACCCGCTCCCAGCAGCTCTCCCCAGTGCCCGCCTGGACGATGCCTGGGCCGGGAAGGCTGTCTCCAAGGCTGGTCCGCCTTCACTGTTAGGAATGATCTGCTTGAGGCCCGTGGCAGTTTGGGTCCCTGATGGAAGCCTCCTGTGGAGGCACCTGGAGTCCAGTGTGGTGGGGCTGCTGGGCCGTCCCTTGCCACACATGGGCAGGCTCTGCCTCTTCCCACGTGCAACAGGCCTGTGCTCTGATCAGAGAACTGGGGCCAAGAGCTCTCGCGAGGGTAGGGAGCTGAAGTGGCACCTACCGAGGTCAGGATGACACCGCGGAAGCTCTTGTCATTCTCCAGCTTCTCCAGGCTGATGACCAGCTCCGTCAGAAACTCCAGGCTGAGGGTGTTCACTGGGGGGTTGTTCAGTCTCATCACAGCGACCCCTAATTTAAAGAAGGAAGAGAGAGAAAGCTGACATCCAGCACTGGAAAAGTACCCTGACCAGCCTGCACCCTCAACCAAGCCACGGTAGCTGCCTGTTTTGGGGTGTGTGTGTGTGTGTGTGTGTTTTTTATTAACCATTACTTTTGACACGGTCTCGCTATACTGCCCAGGCTGGAATGCAGAGGCATGATCTCAGCTCACTGAACCTTAGACCTCCTGGGCTCCAGTGACCCTCCCACTTCAGCCTCCTGAGTAGCTGGGATTACAGGCACGTGCCACTGTGCCCAGCTAATTTTTTGTATTTTTAGTAGAGACGGGGTTTCACCATGTTGACCAGGATGGTCTCGATCTCTTGACCTCATGATCCACCCGCCTCGGCCTCCCAAAGTGCTGGGATTACAGGCTTGAGCCACCGCGCCCGGCCAGAAACTGCATGCTTTTTAAATGAACCATTTTATTTTTGGACAAGGAGTCTTTTAAAAAAAAATTTTTTTTTTAAGATGGGGTTTCACCATGATGGCCAGGCTGGTCTTGAATTCCTGATCTCAGGTGATCCACCCACCTCGGCCTCCCAAAGTGCTAGGATTACAGGCGTGAGCCACCACGCCCAGCCCTAAAATTTTTTTTACTGAAAAGAAATAGAGACGGGGTTTCCCCATGTTGGCCAGGATGGTCTCAAACTCCTGACCTCGTGATCTGCCCGCCTCGGCCTCTCAAACTGCTGGGATTACAGGCGTGAGCCACGGCGCCCTGCTGGACGAGGAGTCTTGCTCTGTTGCCCAGGCTGGAGCAGCAGCATGATCTTGGCTCACTGCAACCTCTGCCTCCTGGGTTGAAGCCATTCTTCTGCCTCAGCCTCCTGAGAAGCTGGGATTACAGATGGGTGCCACCTTGCTCAACTATTTTTTTTTTTGAGACAGAGTCTTTATCTGTTGCCAGGCTGCAGTGAAGTGGTGCGATCTCAGCTCACCGCAGCCTCTGCCTTCTGGGTTCAAGCAATTCTCCTGCCTCAGCCTCCTGAGTAGCTGAGACTACAGGCACGCACCACCATGCCCAGCTAATTTTTGTATTTTAGTAGAGACGGGTTTTCACCATGTTGGCCAGGCTGGTCTGAATCTCTTGACCTTGTGATCCAGCCCCCCAAAGTGCTGGGATTACAGGCATGAGGCACCGTGCCCAGCCTATTTTATTTTTTTGAAATGGAGTCTTGTTCTACCACCCAGGGTAGAGTGCAGTGGTGCAGTCTCATCTCACTGCAACCTCTGCCTCCCGGGTTCAAGCAATTATCGTACCTCAGCCTCCCGAGGAGTTGGGACTACAGGTGTGGGTCACGATGCCTGGCTACTTTTTGTATTTTTAGTAGACAGGGTTTCCCCATGTTGGTCAGGCTGGCCTCGAACTCCTGACCTCAGGTGATCCGCCTGCCTCAGCCTCCCAAAGTGCTAGGATTACAGGCGTGAGCCACCACACCCGGCCTTATATATTTATTGAGACGGAGTCTCCCTCTGTCACCCAGGCTGGAGTGCAGTGACTCAACTGTAGCTCACTGCCACCTCAACCTCCTGGGTTCAAGCCATTCTTCTGCCTCAGCCTCCCAAGTAGCTGGGATTACAGGTGTGCACCACCACACCCAGCTAATTTTTGTATTTTTAGTAGAGATGGGGTTTCACCATGTTGGCCAGGCTGGTCTTGAACTCCTGACCTCAGGTGATCTGCCCACCTCGGCCTCCCAAAGCGCTGGGATTACATGTGTGAGCCACGGCACCCAGCCACCATTGTGTCCTTACTCCTCCCGAACTCCTGTCTTCCCCTCACACATTGCTGCTCTTATCCCCTCCTATCTGGTCCGCTAGTCGTAGTCGGTCTGGGAGATGGATTCGAGACTGAGTTCTCATGGCAGTCGTTAGCTTTCTATTTGAGACAACGTCTTGCTCTGTCACTCAGGCTGGAATGAAGTGGTGCGATCTCGGCTCACTCTAACCTGCGCCTCCCGGTATTTTTTTTTTTAATTTTTAAGATGGGGTTTCACCATGTTGGTCAGGCTGGTCTTGAACTCCCAACCTCAGGTGATCCGCCTGCCTTGGCCTCCAAAGTGCTTGGATTACAGGCGTGAGCCACCACGCCTGGCCGTGCCTCCTGGTTTCAAGCGATTCTCCTGCCTCAGTCTCCCAAGAAGCTGGGACTATAGGCTCGAGCCTCCACACCCAGCTAATTTTTTTGCATCTCTACACTAGGCTAATTCTTTTGAGATGGAGTCTCACTTTGTCGCCAGGCTGGAGTGCAGTGGCACAACCTCGGCTCACTGCAACCTCCACCTCCTGGGTTCAAGTGATTCTCCTTCCTCATCTTCCTGAGTGTACCACCACACCCATCTAATTTTTGTATTTTTAGTAGAGGCAGGGTTTCACCATGTTGGTCAGGCTGGTCTCAAACTCCTGATCTTGTGATCTGCCTGCCTTGGCCTCACAGAGTTAGGATTATAGGCATGAGCCACTGTACCCGACCCTTAATTTTTTTGTGTTTTTAGTAGAGATGGGGTTTCATCATGTTACCCAGGCTGTTCTTGAACTCCTGGCCTCAGGTGATCCCCTCACCTCGGCCTCCCAAAGTGCTGGGATTACAGACGTCAGCCACAGTGCCTGCCCTTGGTCCTTGGCTGTGTGGAGAGCTGCATGGATTTAGGCCATGCTGGTGTTCTGGTGACAAGGACACCAGGGGAAAGGTAACGAGGCCGGACAACATGAGACAACCAAGGAGAATTTGGAAGAGCTTACACATCATGTGGGAAGTGGCTACATTCCTGGCATAGGGTGGGTACTAAATGTTCCTTATTTATTTATTTATTTAAGGCGGAGTCTCAGTCTGTCACCTAGGCTGGAGTACAGTGGCATGATCTTAGCTCACTGTAACCTCCACCTCCTGGGTTCAGGGGATTCTCCTGCCTCCGCCCCCCATGTAGCTGAGATCACAGGTGCCTGCCACTGTGCCCGGCTAATTTTTGGCATTTTTAGTAGAAACGATGTTTCAATATGTTGGCCAGGCTGGTCTCAAATACCTGACCTCATGATCTGCCCACCTCGGCCTCCCAAATTGTTGGGATTACAGGCGTGAGCCACAAGGCCTGGCCATGCTAGGTGTATTTTAAACATTTTTAAGCACACACACACACACACACACACACCCTCCCTCCAGTAAAAAAGGAAGTATTGGTGAAATGACAGTTTTTTACCTCAGTGCCTCCCTACTCCACCATATAAAAAGACACAATGGGCCGGGCGCGGTGGCTCAAGCCTATAATCCCAGCACTTTGGGAGGCTGAGGCAGGTGGATCGCGAGGTCAAGAGATCGAGACCATCCTATCAACATGGTGAAACCCCTCTCTACTAAAAATACAAAAAATAGCTGGGCATGGTGGTGCGTGCCTGTAATCCAGGTACTTGGGAGGCTGAGGCAGGAGAATTGCCTGAACCCGGGAGGCGGAGGTTGCGGTGAGCCGGGATCGCGCCATTGCACTCCAGCCTGGGTGACAAGAGCGAAACTCCGTCTCAAAAAAAAAAACAGAAAAACAGACACAATGGAGTTTGGGGTCAGAAAGCCAGGTCTGACTCCTCGTTCTCAGAAAAGCCTGATGTGCTGACATGGAAATGAAGATCCGTTTACCCTTCAGGTCACGTTGCGGCTTGGATGAAGTAATAGTGCAAACGCCTTAGGGGGTGTTTTCCTGTGGCCGGGCGCGGTGGTTCATGCTGTAATCCCAGCACTTTGGGAGGCCGAGGCGGGTGGATCACAAGGTCAAGAGATCGAGACCATCCTGGTCAACAAGGTGAAACCCCGTCTCTACTAAAAATACAAAAATGGTGGTGCGCGCCTGCAGTCCCAGCTACCTGGGAGGCTGAGGCAGAATCGCTTGAACCCAGGAGGCGGAGGTTGCGCTGAGACGAGTGTGTTCCACTCCAGTGGAGGACGACAAAGCGAGATTCCGTCTCAGACAAAAAAAGAGAACTCAGGGTGTAGCTGGCCTTAACAGGGGCCCCCTCACCTCGCCCAGGCAGCTCCCCCAGCCCAGAGAGGTCGGAAGTGCGTTCTGAAGCACAGGGAGCCCGGGGTCCTGATGCTGTGCCAAGTGAGGGCGTGGGGAAGGCTGTGACCTACTGGACCCACAATACGGCCCCTGTGGAAGGGCCAAGGCCTGCAGCGCGAGGCCCGGGGGCCGCCTGGGTCGTGCCCTCTCGGTGCCCTGAGCTCGGCCTCCTGCCTGGAGGGAGCGCGCAGGCTTGTCTTTCAAAAGCGCTCTTCCTATCCCTTCCTGATGGTGGGTACGAGCTTCTGTGCCACATGGGGCTGTTAACCAACATCATTTTATTCCCAAACACTCCCATTCTTTTCCGCTTGCAGCTGACACTCGGGTAACATCCTATCCCCGCCAACCTTAGAAACAGCAACTTCGCCTCATGACCAAGGAACCCAGGCGGAGCAACAACGTTGTCTAGAAACTGAGCGTCCATAGACGTGGTTCTCCGACGCCGCCCCGCGAACGCGGACCCACGCGGGTCCCGGCCCCGTGCCCGCCCTCCCGCCCTCGGCGCCGCCCGCTCACCTGCGCCTGCGTCCGGCTCCACCAGCACCCGCTGGCTCCCGAAGCGCCGCGCGCCGTCCCCCCGCTCCGTCAGCCCGAGGGCCGCGCCCGGGAGCCGGGCCCCTGGGAAGGCAGCGTGGAGGAGCCCGTTAGTCCCCGGCTGGGGCCCGGCCCCGGCCCCGACCCCGACCCCGACCCCCGCTCGCCCCGGGTCTCGCACCCGCGCGGAGCAACATGCGCGCCGGGACTCGCAGAGCAGCCGCCAGCGCCATCTTGAACGGAATGCGCCGGCCGAGAGTCGCGGCCTGGCCTGGCCTCGTGAGAACGGGCCGGAGTTCGCCCCGGGACCAGGCCCCGCCCCCTTCCCGGAGTCGGGTCACGGCCTCCACCTGCCCGCCGGGTTCATCCCGTCGCCCCTGGCAGCCGCGTGCTTCCGGGGCAGGCACCGGGCTCTGGGCCAGGGCTGCCCTGCAGGAAGGCGCAGGGAGAAGCCGGCCCTCTGCAGACGCAGCCACGACCCGCGCGGCGCCAGGGCAGGCTCTTCTCCAGCGCGGGGCACTAGGCAGGAGGCTGCCTCGAGCTCTCGGCCAGGCTCAGCTACCGCAGCACCGGTCGGAAAGGCGAGCAGAGCACCGAGCCCCACGCCGGGCAGAGGGGGTGGGGGAGCGTACGGGAGGTCAGCGGCTGCCTGGGGTGAGCCCGGCGGTAAGAACAGGACACCGGCCTTGCCTAGCGCAAGGGCAAATGCAAAATGGCTGAACCACAGTGAGACCTCCTAAATGTTTATTTGCAGAGAAATGCCGAAGGGTAAGAACAGGGTGTGTTCCCGCTGGGCCGCGAACGGGGCTAGGGAGTGGGCCTTTGTACTGTCTGGGGTGAGGTCTTGGTCCGACCACTGGGAGCACCGGGCAGTGAGGTCCCAAGCAGTGTTCAGTGGTCTCAACTTTGGTTCTTAAGATGTTAAGCATTTAAGATTCTTCCTTGTGTCCCAAACCAATTTCTGAGGTGGAGAAATGGCCCCCTGATGGAGGAGGAAGCAAGCCTGGCATGGCGACGCAAGCCTGGCATGGCGACACATGCCTGTAATCCCAGTGACTCAGGACCAAGGGGCAACACAGCAACACCCCGTTGCTACGAAATATTTACCCCCCTCCCCACACACACTCTCTTCATGTTTCCGGTCGGGTAGAAGTTCCAGCTTCAGAGAAGGTAATAAAACACCTCATTCTCCTGTTTGTCCACCATAGGGGCAACCTAATACCCACAGCACACAAACCCTAGGTTCTCCTGCCTGAAAGCACTGGAGGTGCCACTGTGGATCACGAGTAACAGAAAGCTACCAAGGGGGCGAGGGAGCAGTGAGAAGGCAGTGAACCCAGTACTAGACCTGCATTCCACTCCTGCATTTATTTAACACAATTCTTCCGCTCTACACAACAAAGTACAAACACAGTGTCATCTAAAATGCTACAAAGTTTTAAAACTCAAACAAATTTTATAGTACTGACTGTACAATAAAAGCAAAAAAAAAAAAAAAAAAAAGCAATGTACATGTTGCCAAGATAACCTGAAGGGCAGGCACAGCGGGGGCTGCATGGTGACCCAGCAAAGCTGGCTCTCAACTCACTCATCAGTTTCACAGTAGGGCGATGGGGTGGGGTGTGTGCATGGGTGCAGACAGAGAGAACCATGCACAGCGACTACCGTGGGTGAGAGGCTCTCCAGGGCTGTGTGACCCTGTGTCAGAAGAGGCCTTGAGAGGCCAGGCCTAACAGGCTTGGCAGCTGCGCTAAAGCCCAGGACAGCTCCCTTTTCAAAAGGACACTGTGGGAAATGTGTGCTCCCAGGCAGGCAGATCACACAACTCCCCCAGAGCCTCACTCATCCCTGGTGGCTCTGTCACTGAACTGACTCTCAGAAACTGAAAATGGGTGAGCTTTCTAGCCAGAAACTCGGCGGGTATCTTGGCAGGCACAACACACACCAACGGCACTTCTGCAGCCAGAGCCCAGTCGGCAGAGGGGTGCTGCCTGCTGCCTGCAATGCCTGCCCAAGTGAGGGGGTTTGCTTTCCTACTGATCTTCCTTTGGCTAGAAAAGTGACAAAACTGAGCTGGGTGGGGTATAAGTTACAGGGGTGAGAGATCCAGTGGCATGCTTAACGGGAGGAGTTGGAGCTGGAGCGGCTCCTGTGGCGGCGGCGGCCTGGGGAGCGTGATCGCCGACGCACAGGGGACCTGCGCCTTGGGGAGCGGGATCTGCAGGAAGAGGAGAAACCACATCAGAGGAGTTCAGACTGTAGGGCAAGCTAGCTTCTTTCTGGGCAATTCTCCACAGTTTTACTTTTTGGTACTAGAAGTTGGGACAGGTCCCACCTGATGGGCCTGCCCCTGAGCTCTTGGGAATGGGTGCTCATGAGACCCAAGGCAGAAGCCCAGGCTTCCTTCCTCTTCCCCAAAGGCTGAAAGCATAGCTCACGACTGGCAAGAGAAGGCCAAACTGTGGCCTTTGGCAAGGGATTACCACCCCCACCTCCCACCAACTCCTCTGACACCCAACTTCCTCCTCTCCTAGCCCTTCTTGTTAGCTCAGAAAAAAGTGGGCCTGCACCTGGGCTCACAGGTCTAACGGTCTCCTGGGAAGGCCACGTCATGCCACGTCACTGCTCAGACTTAGAAAGTTGTGTTGGTGCACGCTAGGGCCTCTCCTGCCTGCTGCTCACTGCAGCCGTGCCCGTCCTGCTTTCCCCATGAGCTCTGAAGGGCTACTACTCTCTGCTACCCCTAACCCACACAGCAGCAGAAGGCAGGCAGGGCTGAATAAAGGGTCCCTAAGTCACTGCGGTCACATGAGGTTTGTGGCCTGATCAGTTCACTGAAACTACACTTTGTTTACCTTCTCCTCATCCGTGGGGGAGACCTGCGCCACATGGGTGGTGGCGGCAGCATTCTCCTGGGAGGGCTGAATCGCCTGGGGGGTGGTCTAGGCCAGGGTGCCAGCACAGCGGTGGCAGTGATCTCCTGGCCATCAATTTGTCCTGTTGAAAAAGAGAGCAAGTCATAAAATATCTAGCAAGCATCTCCCTACACAAAGCATGTCACAGTGAACAACAGGCCTGGGGGACAATGACTAATCACAGAAATAACGTCATGAGTACCATGTCATGAGGAAAGGCGTCAGGGAACATGAAAGGAGACACCGATGGTGTCAAGGCATCCTCCCACATCTAAACTGACGCAGGCCAAGAGCTAAAGAACGTGCTGGAGGTCAGGCGCAGTGCTCAGCCCTGTAATCCCAGCACCGAAAGGCTGAGGCGGGCAAATCACAAGGTCAGGAGTTCCACACCAGCCAATATGGTGAAACCCCTTCTCCACTAAAAATTCAAAAAATTAGCGAGGTGTGGTGGTGCACGTCTGTAATTGCAGCTACTTGCGGGGCTGAGAATGTCTTGAACCTGGGGCAGACGTTGCAGTGAGCTGAGATCACACCACTGCACTCCAGCCTGGGTAACAGAGTGAGAGAGTTTGTCTCAAAAAAAAGGAAGAAAAAGTGCTGAAATCCACTAGGTGGAAGAGAAGGGATATATGCCTTGCCCTGCGCTGTGAAGGACCCACAGTGCTGTGAGAGAAGGCAGCAGCGAGAGCAAGTGACAGGCAGAAGGAAGGAGGGTCAGGGTGGGGCCTCCTCGCAGGGCATTGCAGGTGCTATCTACCTTTGCGCTACCTTCTCCTACAAAGGGGCCAGGAGAAGGGGAGACCTGGTAGCAGGGCTCTGTGGCATGAATCAACTGAGGGGCATGAATCATCATCAAATGAAATGGTAGGAAAGGGAAAGGATTCAGGGCTAACTGGGAAGTGAAGTTGCCAAGCTTGGTGGACGGGATGAGGTGGTGAGGGACAGTCAAGATGAGCTTCCATTCGTGGAGAGGTGGGACTCCAGTGGGGAGCAGCATGAAGGAAGTTTCACGAACTGTGAAACTGTGTTTGGAAACAAGCAGTCTGAGAGGCGGCTCTCTGAATGTGAACGGCACTGAAACACAGGTCATGTGCTGCAATGGGGTGGCAAGAAGTGAGGAGAAGGGCTCCAGGGAGAGAGGAAAGGAAACGGAGGTGCAAACCCAGGAACCCCAGGGCAGCATGTGTCCCAACCTCAAGAACTGTCCGGTAGCTGGGGATACCAGGAACCCAAGCGCAGCCCCTTCTGTGCCCTAAAGGGTGAAGGGCTCTTTTGTCTTCTCAGTTCCCACCTTCAAGGCACCTTCAAAGTGCATGGGGTACTAACTTGGGCACGTAGATACATATTCAGAACATACTTAAGAGGTTTAACTTCAATAAACTCAGCCTAAGTTAGCCCAAATTAGGGATTTCACAGCACTGACTCTAGAATGAAGAAAAATCTGTCTTCTGTCTAGCTACCAGTGAAGGCCAACCCCTGCTCATTTTCTCTTGGACACAGCGTGGACTCACTCCATTCAATGACAGTACGGGGACACACACAAAAATCCTAGCAGAATCTTAAGAAAAGCTGGAATGTCTATAGTCATGCCCACCTATAAGATACCCGGATCCCCTTGGTTTTTAGCTCAGCAAGTGCTCAGACTGTCAAAATAGCAGAAAATCAGCAGACTCCAAAGCAAAGGTGTGGCTCCCAAGGCCGAAAGCTGAGGTGAGTACACAGAGCTCCCAGCCTATTTCAGGACTGAAGTAACTTGAAAGAGAAGTTACTCAAGTGTCAAGGAAACCTTCCTGATGTGTAAACTCTACCAGAGCTCAAAGGCAATTACTGAAAAAAACAGGTAAGCTATTTATAAAGTTTTTAACAGGGCCTCAGAGGACACAAGGTTCTGGGGCATGCACACCCTGCTCTCCACCAGGCCTGGTGGCCCAGATGGCAGAGGGGGCTGTCTGTCCTCAGTGCCAGCTGCCTTGGTCACACAGCAGCAGGGAGCAGAGAAGAGATGACTCCACATTCCTCAAAACGTTGACTTGATAAAGTGAAAATCTGCCACCCAAAACTATTCACAAGGGCCCATGTGCTTTTAAAACCATTCTGCCAGATACAAACAGCTAAAAGTGTTATGAGTGGTTATAAGACGTAAGTGTTTGAGAAATAAATCCAGTAAATCCAGTATTTTTTAGCAAAATACTAAAAAAACTGAAATACTGGCAAACTTCTGATTCTCAGAAATGATTAAAAGAAATATTCCCATATAAAAAGCCAAATGTATTCTATGTAAGAAATCTGCATTTGATCCTCAAGCTTTTAACAGATTAGAAACTCCCTAAAATGTTCATCTATGCATATTTGCTAATTTTTTTTTCCTTCAAGAATAGTGTTACTTTGAACTGGAGCTGGAAAAAAAAAAAAAAAAAAAAAAAAAAAAAAAGGTGGTCCTAAAACATATTTTCAGTCATCATACACCCAGTAAGAAATGGAATCCTCAAACAGCTTCCGGGACTCAGAAGTGTAGACCAGGCCGGGCACAGTGGCTCACACCTAAAATCCCAGCACTTTGGGAGGCCTGGGCAGATCACCTGAAGTCAGCAGCTCCAGACCAGTCTAGTCAACATGGTGAAACCGTGTCTCCACTAAAAGCATAAAAATTAGCCAAGTGTGGTGGCACCTGCCTACAATCCCAGCTACTTAGGAGCCTGAGGAAGGAACACGGCTTGAACCTGGGAGGCAAAGGCAGAAGTGAGCCAAGACTGCACCAATACTCCAGCCTGGTCAACACACACACACACACACACACACACGCACACAAATGTAAATGGCTTGAACCTGGGAGGCGAAGGCAGAAGTGACCAAGACTGCACCAATGTATTCCAGCCTGGTCAACACACACACAGACGTAAAGGTGAAAGTGGGCTTATTTGGTACCAAAAATCATACAGGAAGCAATGCCAAATATAAAATGGGGTTTGGCTTTGTTGGGGCTATATTTGTATAAATGTTATTGTATGCTCCAAAATCATGTAAAATTCCTACAATTATAATGTATTTTAGTGTATGTTATCAGTAATGACTGCAATTTTTATATTAAATTATCGTGTGTCACAGAGGTAACAAATTTTCCCATCGACTGTGTCTATCCTGGAACTTTTTCTCAACCGTAAACAATTGTTGTCTCCTTTTAATCCTCTTTAAAAGGGTTAAAAACTACAACGAGGTGGCTCACACCTGAAATTCTGGCACTTTGGGAGGCCGAGGCAAGCAGATCACGAGGTCAAGAGATCGAGACTATCCTGGCCAACATGGTGAACCCCCATCTTTACTAAAAATACAAATAGTTGGGCGTGGTGGTGGGTGCCTGTAGTCCCAGCTACTCGGGAGGCCAAGGCAGGAGAAATCGCTTAAAGTCGGGAGGCGAAGGCTGCAGAGAGCTAAGATCCTGTCACTGCACTACAGTCTGGGAGACAGAGTGAGACTCCGTCTCAAAAAAAAATGCTTTAAGAGGTGCCTGAAATACTTGGACACCGGGACATCAGAATAAAGAAAAAACGTTCAGGACTGTTAGAGAGCTAAAATGTCTATTAATAGCAAGCAGGACAGAGATTAACTGCATAAACCGGACTAGCAGGAGACTGAAGTAATCTTTCTAACTTTTTGCTTAAAATGCTGCTAATCCTTTGTTTTGCTTTTCAAAGTTAAAAGAAGCTTTTAAGTTATTAACAGCTTTTAACAATTAAATAAAGTATACTCCTCTGTATGAACAAAACTTGGAACATACTTGTTTCTCTCTACCTAATTCAGAATTTGGAAACAATTTGTGTTTTTTGAGACCGAGTCTCACTCTGTCACCCAGGCTGGAAGGCATGATCTTGGCTCACTGCAATGTCTGCCTCCTGGGTTCAAGTGATTCTCCTGCCTCAGCCTCCCAAGTAGCTGGAACTATAGGAATGTGCCACTACGCCTGGCTAATTTTTGTATTTTTAGCAGAGATGGAGTTTTACCATGTTGATCAGGTTGGTCTCAAACTCCTGACCTCAGGTGATCCACCCTGCCCGGCCTGTTTGTATGTATTCTTAATTTATGGTAATACAGTTATTTGCTTAAGTACAACATAAACTTGTTTTCTTTTGTAACAGAACAGAAATAAAATACTGGTTATCTGCGGTGAGCAGAGATTGTGCCATTGCACTCCAGCCTGGGCAACAAGAGTGAAACTCCGTCTCAAAAAAAAAAAAAAAACCCAAGTGGTTATTTTACCAAGGCGTTAACTGGAATGGTATGCTCTGCTTTAAGGAATCCGACTGAACCAAAAAAGCCTTTAAAAACTGGCCTCATACTCTGTGTGCAGTTCCTGTACAGGGCTTCTAACCTGTGTAAAAACATGTCACTTTCTAACAGACCAGAAACCCCATTATCTTGCAACCTCAAGAGAAGAGGAATTCACCCAACTCCCAAGTGTTCCATGGTACATATCCATGGCTGGGCTTGAGTGTAAGAAGGGATTCCCTCAGACTCCTCCTGTGGAAGGAAGCTCCATCGAAGCCCATTTAAAAGGCCTACATAAAAAATTGTTATTCTCGCTACACGGTATAAAATAATTAGGCCAGGTACAATAAAGCAAACCAGTCCTACCACAATTTGTCTTTTAATAAAAATGGGAAGCTAAAAAAAAAAGTTTCAAAAACAGTAGTATACCAAAATAATGTTGCCAATTCTTTCCTTTCTCTATTCCTTTTTCCTAATTGGAAATCACTGAAACCCAAAGCTGTGCTTTCCCAAAGCCCTATAAACTGAAGACTAAACTTCTGAAGAAAACAGCAGAACCGACTTATGTGTGCTGCTTGCTGCAGATGGTTAGGTTTCAGCAGTGCTGCCCCTAAGCCCGCAAAACAGAAAAGTGCTCCTGGGAACAAATGGACCTCTTCCACTCCAGCACCGTCTTCAGTGCCAGTTAACAAGCCTCTCTCAGCAGGAAGCAGCCAGGAAAGATGGCAATGCCCCATCTCCCTATGATTCTCGTGATAAATAAATACACAGGCATGATAAAACATCACGTGCAAACTGACAGTGGGGACTGTGGCGGGTCTCCCTAACACAGGCCTCCGTAACAACTGTTTTAGTACTGACTGAGCAGTTAAGTTAAATTAAAAGCCAGTGCCGTTATACAAAGGCTCGGATGTGAGAAAGTCCACCACAAGTTTTGCCTAGGCCTTTCCTGGGTCTTAAAACAACAAAATAACGAAGATATTCTTAATGTGACTCCTTTAAACAAGTTTCACCGGGGCCTAAAAAACTCCCCAACCCTCTGTGATCTGGCAGAAGTCACAGGAAGGCTTCTTACTCCGGCACCTAACCCCATGTAAATTAAGTAAATTTACTGAGGCTCCAGAGGAAGGTCTCCATGACTCAAACCTTAGTTACAGATTAAAAGTTAATCACTTACATCTTTAGATAAATGCACACTTACGCACAGACATATAACTTAAAAAGTATAAAAGCTGAAAAACTCTGTAACTTTAAGTTGCTCTGGCAGTAATTTCCAGGCCTTCTCCGTGCAACTGGCTGCAGAAATAAAAACTTTCCTCCTCCTCAGTTATCTGCATCTCATTACCAGGCCATGAGAAATAGCGGCCCAATCCTCAGTTTGGTCCAGGAACAAATGCACTCCAGCCTGGGTGATCTCAAACAAACAGACAGACAGAAGTGCAGTGCAGGTGGAAGTCAAGTCTCTACAGGTGCTGTGTCTCTGAGAGGCTGGGTTATGTGGCAGGGTCACCCACCTCCGTCCATGTGCTTCAGCGCCTTTTCAGCTTCATCTGGATTCTCAAACTCAACGTATGCATAGCCTTTGGACAGATGGGGATGCATCCTTTCCACTGGCATGTCAATCATTTTAATTTTCCCATACGTGGAAAATATCTCCATGATGTGATCCTAGAGGGAAAGAAGAGTCACTTGAACTCCCAGCTTCCAGTTAGTCGTGTCAGATGTACAGCAAGTTCACCACATCATGACTAAAACTTTGGCAGGGCAAAACAATCCATCCAGTGAGCACCAGTGTCGCTCTGGTATACATCTCCTAGACACGTCTATTAATGGTCCACTAAGAGAACTAATCAGTGCTGTACTGAAAGCAGGTACCACCACCCCAGTCCTCCAAAACGCTACATTCTAAGTTTACCTGGGGGCACAGGCCTGCCTGTCCACAGCCAGAGATCCGTGATCCTCACCTTGGTCACATTCCTGGTGAGTCTCCCAATGTGCACTTTGGTGGGCTTAGGGGATGGGCTCCGCCTCTTCCTCTCCTTTTCATCTCTTTTAGGTGGTTTGGATCTGATTGAGAAAACACAACACCAGAAACATTCTGTCAAGTCAGAATGTACTAGATTCCTTTGAGTGGGCCTCATCTGATTGTAAGACAGTTTTCCTAAGGAAGGCATGTACATTATTCCTGTCTCAGAAGTCCTATCAAGGCAGAAAGACTCCTTTGGGGTCACTTTCATAACCCCAGTGGCAAATCTCCAGCCCCCATCTTGTAAGCTTTAGCTCTCAGGCATGGAGAACTCACTTGGAGCGGGAGCGCCTTCTATTGTCGTGCCTGCGCCGAGAAGGACTCGGAGAGCCAGAGGAGCTGCTGGAGCTGGAGCTTCGGGAGGTGCTGGAGCTTCCTGAGCGGCTGGATGCTGAGGAAGAGCTGGAGCCACTGCTTGAGCCAGTGCTGGTGCTGGAGCCTGAGCTGGAGGTCGAGCTGGACCGAGACCTGAGGGCAAGGTAAGGGATCGCAACTACCACACGCCAAGTCTCACAGTACAGATGCCTCCTCCAAGTCTGTTGTGCTCCCCCAAGGAGGAAACTGCTGTTTGGGTATCTCCAGGCCTCCCTACTTTCCCTAGTGTGGAAAACATCACTCCTGTCCCATCCCCCAGCAAACCAGAGCCCTAGGTGTCACACTGTGCAGGGAACAGGACAGAGGTGATAGGCTGCTTTCTACCCATAGAGAAGCCTTTCCTGTCGGGAGGTGGAGTCTAGCAAAAGTCAGAACTGCCGACTCAGGCTGGGAAGGCAGCTGCTGGCTGATGCTGACTCAGGCTCAGTTGTCTTTTCTTTTGAGACAGGGTCTCACTGTCACGCAGGCTGGAGTACAATGGCATGATCTCCGTACATTGCAGCTTCAACCTCATGGAATCAAGCCGTCCTCCCGACTCAGCCTCCTGAGTAGCTGGGAGTACGGGTGTGCACCACCATGCCTGGCTAATTTTGTTTATTTTCCTCAAACTCCTGGGCTCAAGCTATCCTCTTGCCTCCACCTCCCAAACAGCTGGGCTACAGATGCATGCCACCATACACACATAATTATAAAAATGTAGAGACGAAATCTTGTTTTGTTGCCCAGGCTGGTCTTGGAACTCCAGGCCTCAAGCCATCCTCCCGTCTGGGCCTCCCAAAGTACCGAGATTACAGGAATGAGCCACTTTGCCTGGCCAATCCGCCATAAACTAGGGTTTCTACTAACAATAAGAGGATGTGATTTCTTTGTAAATAATCAAGAAAACCGGAGCCATCTGTGGCGAGTGAGGGTGTGGCTGTGGCATAGGTCCCTACAGGCTCCAGGCCCGCCCGCCCACCTGGTGCTGCTGCTACCACTGGAAGCGCTGCGCCTCTTTCGGGTTTTGTCCCTGCCGCGATCCTTCTCGCTCGACTCCTTGGTGGCCCCTTTATCTTTTGAACGATCCTTGGACTTCTCATCTGAGCGGTCTTTGCGTTTGGTAGGAGAAGGAGCCCTAGATGGTGAGGAAGAGTGTGAGACTGTGTGCTGCTCTGACCAAACCCAGATAGCACAACCCAGAAAAAGGGGAGCAGCAGGGCCACAGAGATCCCAGGTGATCACAGAGCAAAGTGGTCTGTGGCTCGGAACACTCACTGCAGAATGCACAACATTCTCAACTTTCCCCTTTCTGCGGGTCCCTAGCAGTAAGCACCCCCAAAGTAGCACTAGAAAAATCTTACAGAAGGATTACCTAGTGCTGGACTTTTTATTATTTTCTTTGACTCCTAGCAAGCTCTTCTTTTTCACTCCTGATAAATCCATTCTCCCCTTCTGAGGTGTTCAAAGCAGCAATGACGGCCTCACTTATCTCAACTCTCACTTCTAACTGGATTCTGAGAAACGATCCCTAATTGATTGCAATTTACGCCAAAGAGCAGCCTAATAACAAGATAAAAGGATTTAAAGAGTGAACGAATTGGCAAGGCAGCAAGTCTACTTTGCAGTCAAAAGCTGAGCATACAAGAAGGCGGCAAGGGAGGACAGTAAGCAGTGTGCGTCCACACAACCAGGAACACATGGGGACAGTCCCCACCTGCTCATGGAGGTGTCTCTACCCCCACAGGAGGCACAGGCAGAACTGTCACCCCAGTTTATCTTTTTTTTTTAAAAAGAGACAGGGTTTCACTATGTTGGCCAGGCTGGTCTCAAACTCCTGACCTCGTGATCCACCCGCCTTGGCCTCCCAAAGAGCTGGGATTACAGGCTCGAGCCACTTCGACCAGCCAGTTTATCTTTCTTAAAAAAATGGAGGAGATGGTGGGGCCCATCACTGTCATTTTACAGGCTGAACAATTTAGTTTTCAGCCCCAAGTTTGCTGAGCTCCCTGCAGTCTTTTGAAAGTGCCATGGCACCACATTCACATGCAGAACAGGGAACCTAACTCAGGGGTGGTCTCCAGACAGGATTAGGTCTCCTGTTTCATTGCAGCAATTTCCTTTTGGGATACACTGGATAATACGACTGGAAGCAAAAACCATTTCAAAAGTGACTAGTACCAGCATCAAAACACTTAACACCCAAATGCAAACAGATAAAATGTACCGCATGGACATTTAAAAAGCAGTGATTGCAAACACTGTACTTTAGGAATATGCATACTGAGTGTGTAGGGAAAACACATGCAAGTGTGCAATTTACTTCAAATAAAGCAGAAATGTAACAAACTTTTAAGGGTTTTTTTCGAGACGGAGTCACCAGGCTGGAGTACACTGGCACGATCTCAGCTCACTGCAACCTCTGTCTCCTGGGTGTAGGTGATTCTTCTGCCTCAGCTTCCTGAGTAGCTGGGACTAAAGGTGTGTGCCACCACGCCTGGCTAATTTTTGTGTTTTTAGTAGAGACAGGGTTTCACCATACTGGCCAGCCTGGTCTCAAACTCCTAACTTCGTGATCAGCCCACCTTGGCCTCCCAAAAGTGCTGTAATTACAGGCATAAGCCACCGCTCCCAGCCCTCAAGTGGTTTTTGTGGGCATTAACTGTATAATTCAACCTTCCTATGTGCTTAAACTTTTCAAAAATAAGATGTTGAAGAAAAAAAGTAGGCACTGAGGTTTCGGGAGAGACTACCTACCACGTAAGACTACCTACGTTTAAGTTTAGCAAAACGCCTGGACTGCAGCGTGTGCTCAAATAATGGTAACAAATTACTCAAAACAAACTGCTAATAAGCTATGGGCTCTATTTCAGAGGGACTGCTGCCTTCAGTATTTCCAGCCAGGTCTGCACAAGCTGCATGAGTTTTTAAGTAAAGCTCTCAGGATGTGAGTCTCAGCTACTTCTGTCTCACCTTCTCCAACCAACAGCCTGTACGTAAGCAGGGCACAGCACACTAATGGGGTTCTGGTTTCCCCATGCAGAAATGCCAGTGCTGAAAACGTGTTCTGACCAAGAAAGAAGAGCACCTGGCTTTGAGCTGTCAAATGAGTCATGGAGGGCCGAACATCACCTTTGCTGCTCTTGTCCAGGGCATAGTGTTTTGCCTCAGAACAGTGATGTTCTGCAGACACCCAGCAGGCAGTGCCCGGTATGGCTGGTGTCCTTGGACAAACAGTGAGTATCAGAGTATAATTCCCAGTCTGGAGCCAGGAGGCCTGGGTTTGATTTGAAGTTTTACTGTGCAATTTTGAACAGGTCACTTATCGTTTTTCAAGTTTCTCATCATCAATATGGAGACAACTACAGTTCCAACCTTACAGTTATGCAGGGCATTAATCAAAGGCTCAATACATGTGAGAAGCAAGGGTTTTATCTTCACGTCCAGAGGCTCCTTCCCCCCCCCCAGACACTTGTCTCCAAAGTCCCACGTAATTTCTGAACTCTCTGCAGGGCTCCCGCACCCACCCACCTTAGGATCATCTGCAGCAGCACTGTCCAACAGAAATAGTGTGAGGAGCCACAAGCAGAATCTCAAATTCCTTAGTAGCCACGTCACAAAAATGGGTGAAATTAATTAACATTTGACACAAATCCAAAATACTTTTCCATCAAATAATCAACATAAAAATCTAAAGGTTTCTTTTTTTGTTGTTGTTCAGAGTAAGTCTTCTAAATTTGGGGTGTGTTTTAACATCTCAGTTTTGATTAGCTGCTGTATTTCAACATGCTCAGTAGCCACGTGGGGCCAATGGCTACCTCACTGGACAGCACAGATCTAGAGTGCAGGTCACACCCGCATATTCCAGCCCCACCCCCTAGTCCTAAAGATCTGCCCAAATGTACTCTGTGAAATCAAACACCGCTACTTTGATTCGCTTCGTGAGATCAAGGAGCACCGTTCTTAAGCACTCTAAGAACCACTGAGAAAGCGGACGCTTTGCTGGGTGCGGTCGAATGCTAGAAAGCAAAGGTTGAGGTTCTCTGTTCACACAAGTTCAGGTACCGGCTCAGGACCTCGGTTACCTCCCCCATCCTCCGGAAAGGTGCGCGTCCAACAGCCAGAGAGAGGAGAGAACAGTTAGTTAAATCTCGAGGAGAGGGCGTTTCGGCACAAATCTTCAGAGCGCCTTCCCCATTTAAAAGTACATTTCAGGCACAGTTCATGCGAAATCAAGACAAAAAGCCTACTCCACGTTTCTCCTCCAGCAACCTTAACCTTCCCGTATCCACCCCTCCGGGGTTAACCCATCAAACGGGGCCAGGCCACCGTGCTCGGTCCATAGCGGGCCACATCCCCCAGGCCTAGCGCCGAGAACTGCACACGGGAGCCCGGGAAACGTTCGCGGAGTGCATGTTTGAATCAATGCCTCCGATGGGGGGATCGGCCAGCCTTCCACTGTATCCCACAAAGAAACTCCGCGCCCGCCGGCACCGGCCCGACACGCCGACCTCGCCGCTCCCCGTCCGCGTTCACTCACAACTCCCTTGTCCAGGCGCCGGGCCGCGAGCGCTTCTAGGGCAGGGCCTGGCGTTGGGGGCCTGGGTCTCCGGCACGGCAGGAGGGCCCCAAGGGCGGAAGCCGCGCTCCCCGCTGCTCAGAGTCCCACGGGCCTGGCTGGGCCGCCGCCGAACGGACGAAGCAGAGGCGCCCTTCCGTCCGCCGCGGCCCCGACCACTTCCGGGCCACGGCCACGACACCTCCCACCCCGCCCACCCCGGGCTACACTCTTTCTTTTTAGAGTCCGCACCGCGCCGCCATGCTGCCGCCGCACTGCGGGGCTGGGGAGTGGACCAGCTTCACGATGCTTCCTGCCGGGCCTGACTGGCAACCCCTAAAGCTCGGATGCGGTCGGATTCCGCCCCACTTACATCTTCCCGCCGCCGACACCTCCTCCTGCCTTTCTCAGCCGCTCAAGCCGGCTCCGCTCTGACGTCAGAGTTAAGGAGCGGGAAGACGCTGCCGTCCGGCGCGCAGCGATGACGTAAATGCCTGGGCCAATGGGCGCGAGCGGTGAAGTGTTCAGAGAGTCAAGGCGGCGTGTGTGAGCCGCGTTGGAGCGCTCGCGGTGTCTCCCCGCCGGCGGTGTGTCCCGGCCGGAGGAGTCTGTGACTGGCCGGGCCGGTTGCACGCTTGCTGGAGCGGGCACAGGGGTAGCCTGCTGAGGCTGGTAGGGCCGCTCGATGACCGAGGCTCGTCGTCTGGCGCGGAGGGGGTTAACGCGGCCGTGCCCAGTCCCTTTCCTTGCGCGGGTGCTCTGGGCCCGCCTAGGCCTCCTCCGGCCCCCGACACCGGACGCTGGGCCCCGGGCCCGGCCGCGCGGCGGCGGCGGCGGGGTAGTCGTACAAGAAAGGCGCGCGGGCTCTGCGGCTTTGCTTGGCGCGACGTGGGGACCCGCAGGGTGGAGGCAGCTCGGAGAGATGGGCCGGGGCCGGGCGTGCGTTCGCGTGCTCCAGACCTACCGGTGGCGTTTGGGGTGCCCGCGTGGACGCGGCCTCCACGCAGGTGGAGCTCCGCCGGGTGGGCGCGGCAGCTGGGCAGTGTGGGCAGGAGGAGCGACGAGTTTGAGGGTAGGAGATGGGGTGCACAGGGGGGCGTCTGGGGGTGGTGGCCCTGCCGCGGAGACCCGAGAGGAACGGTGCGTGTGACGGGGTAACAGCAGGGGCCGAGGTTCTCTGGAAGCGGGGAAGGTTCCGCGCGAGCTTCGCGGCGGCAGCACGGAGCGTGTGAACGGCGCAGCGCCGAGGCTTCATTCAGCTGCGGGTGCGGGGTCCCGGCAGGGAGAGCCCAGAGGTGGCGGCGCCTCTGGCTGGGACATGGGAGAGGGTGACGCCGTAGGGGCGCAGGCCCAGACACAGGCGGGAGGCTCCGCACTGGCGCCCCAGACGGAGAGGGCAGGTTGTGTTCACTGCTGCGCCTGGCGGGCAGTCGTTGCCCGGTGATTGTTTGTGGAGGGATTGACGGTGCGCTCAGCTTCGGACTTTGAACAGCTTCGTGGCAGCAAGGATGGGAGAAGGGAACAGATCCAAGCAGATCTTTGGGAGGAGAGAACCGGCATGACTTGGAGACTTTCGATGTCGGAGCAAAGGGGCTGGGTGCAGCTGGGCGACCTGGAGTGAGTGGGCGGATGGATGGACAGACAGCCAGGACGGGGTCTGCTATCACTGCCCTCCTTCCTGTGTGGGACGCTAGTTCCTGCTGACTTCCTGGCCAAACCCACTCCCTCTGGCCCTGTCCAAGGGTCAGGTGTGCCCTTGACCCTTCACCCTGGGCTAAGGGATGTCCGAGGACTTGGGGACAAAGGCCGCTGGGGGGAGGAGTCACCTCCTGGGTCCACGGCACTAAGTCACCAGTGTGTTCCTGTGGGTGGAGGTTGGCAGGCCCAGTCTGGTTTGGGTGCCCCTGTTGGATTTGGGTTTGATGACATGCAAAGTAAGTTAGATTCTCTGCATTACTGTCACACCTGCTGTGGCCAGGCACGAAGTGGTAAGTGAACAGAGGGGCAGCCCCTCTCTGCTGAAGGGGCCCCAGAGTCAGTGTTGGGGAAGGGGGCAGTCTCGGTGGCCCAGGCAGGCAGCTGGTAGAGTTCTCTGAGGTGACAATGAAGTCCAGTGGTCAGAGAAGTGCTGAAGGGCCCAAACTCAGAGCCCGTGCCCAGGGCCTCACTGACACCTGGCAGGGACAGGCAGCCTGGTGACCCCACATGACATGGATTTGGGGAGACACAGCACCAGCTGGGCTGACAGCCCTCCCCCTGCTGGTTTTTAATGCTCTGCAGTAATTGCATTTGGCCTTCGAATAAGCTTTCACACATTTTATATTAAATCTAAGAGTATGATTATTCAGACGCTTATGAATTTAATCAAATTTGTTTCTAAATATTATTGATTTTTGTTATCAAATGTGCCATCAGTTGTTGAGCTTTGAAAATTGAGCATCTTGGCTTTTGCCATTTTGAGGATCAGCAGAAGCATGTTTGGAAGAAATGTGAGAAAATAAAACTCAGGAGCCCACCCCGACCCTACCCTTCTGGGAGCTCAGCCCCAGAGCTAAGCTGCTGAGGGCTTGGAGGCTGAGGGCGGTGGAGCTGGGGCCTCTGGAGCCTCAGGGGCCCTGGTTTGCTGGAGAGGGCGGGCAGGGCTTCGTGGACAGGGCGTTAGGCAGTGGCCAGAGCCCTGCAGTGCTGGGCAAAGGCTTCCCTGGGCTCTGATCACAGCTCTGAGCCCCTCCCCTTGCCTTCCCAGAGCTCAGGGTTACCTGCTGACAGTTTGGGGTGGCTCTGTCTTTGAGAACATGCCCTTGTGAAGGCAGAATGTCCTCCCTGCCCCCATCCTCTGCGGCCTGGTGGCTTCTGCAGTGCCTGCTTTCAGAGGCTGGTGGCCTGTGACACTGAGGGTTGGGGATGGGCTGGGTGGTGGTGCAGGTCACGGTGGGTCATGAAGTAGCTTTGGGTGGGTGTTGCATTCTCTCATAAACCACAGCAATGAAGCCATTTTACCCTCTACTAAAACCTGGCTTTGTACCAAGGCCACGCGTGGCCCAGTCAGGTGGACAAGGGGGTAAGGACTCGATCTGGGGGAGGCATCAGAAGAGGAGCTGTGCCTGCTGAGAGGCAGGTCACCACAGCCTGGCTCCTGTCTGGAGAGGGCAGGGCCGGGGCTGTGCTGGCCAAGTCTGTTGGGATGGGCAGACCGGTTCTGAAAGGGCCTGGTGCTGGTATGGGGTGAGCTGGGTCTGTTGGGAGAGTATGTTGTTCATTGAGGCCTCCCTGGCTCCAGGTTTGCATGTGTGAGGCGTGGGTATCATCAGGGCCTGCAGCCCCTCCAGCAGGCACACCTGGAGTCTCCCATGGTTGGGAGCCTGTGCTCATCACAAGCTCAAAGCCACTCCATTTCTGCCATGAGGAAGTCAAGGATGGTGACTGTGAGCCACCTGGGATGTGAGCTGCCAGAGACAGTGACTGGGGTGCCTCGCAGGGCCTGGGAGGCTGGGCCCATGACTGGATGAGCCTTGGTGAAGCTGTGGTATTGCCTGGGCCAGGTGGACCTAGGGACAGCTGCAGCTGATCCATGTGGAGATCCTCTGAGCCCAAGGCATCTGACACCAGTGTCTGTGGGGTGTGGGCCTGGCCCCAGGAGCGGGGCCTGGGCAGCCCCGTGTGTTGAGGAAGGAAGGCAGGGCCCCCGCTCCCCGGGCCTGACCCCACTGCTTCAGCCCCCTGCTGCCTCCTGGCAGCCTAGCCTCGAGAGCCCATCAGGTGAGGAGGAAACCCTGCCTGTCCCACCCCATCCTACCTCCCAGAGGAGGCCTTGCCCCACATAGGCAGCCTCCAGTCCTCCCACCCTGAGCCACCTCGTGTGGGGTGGCCAGAGCATGCCCAGCAGTTTGGGGCACGTTTGGAGGGAGGGACATCTCCATTCAGAGAGGGGTGAGCAGCTGAAGTGACTCCAGTGTGGGAGTCACTTAATGGCTCTAGCCCTTAGCGCAGCTGGGAAGGGACTGGACAGCACAGGCGGCATCATCGTCCATGCAGACTGGTCCAGGTGGGAGTGAGGGGCTCAGAGGGCCCAGCCGACCTATGCCATGAGCACGGCGCCTGCCTGAAGGGGATCTGAACAGCAGCTGGGTTGGTGCATTACCTGGTGGGGCAGCAGACAGCACCTGCCCTGGCTGGGGTTCAAGCCCCGGGCTGGCCTGGTGGAATCCCCTCTCTCTCTCCCATGCACTGGCCTTGCAGGTGTCAGGGGCCTTGAGGCGGACCTGTGGTCTCCACCACAGCCACAGAGGGTGGGGCCTGTGCCCTCACAGAGGTGATCCTCCACCCCTACCCCTACCCTGTGTGTGGCAGCAGTGTCCCCCAGAGCTGGTGAGACCCCCCCCCACCTCACTCAGGAAGCCCCTCAGACACCAGGCAGAAGTGGCCATACTCCAGGGCCTGTGTCCATGTGCCCCACAGAGCGCCCTGGCCCTGAGTTCCTGACTGCAGGAAGTCAGAAAAGCAAAAAGCAGGCAGGATAGTTCCGTGCTGGGCACATTTCTATCGCAGATCTTTAATACAGGACTCCACGGGTAGCCAAAGTCACCTGAGTCCTGGAGACTATGGGCTTGGTCTCTGAAAAGAGCCAGCAAGACTGAGGTGGGAAATCCAGCAAGATGGAGTGAGCCGAGGTCATAGATGGGTCCAGGCACAGCAGGGAGCTGCCTGAGGGTGTCACATGCTGGGTGGAGGCCACTGCACACACCCTAGCTCAGCCTGAACTTGAGAACTGCCTCGAACACAGAGGTGACCACGAGGAGAGAGGCGTGAACCAAGATGACGGAGCAGCAGATGGAGCCTGCCTCCCTGAGACCTCAGCCTTCTCAGCCCTGGACCGCCGCCTCCTGCCTACATGGCTGAGAAATAAACTTGTTTAAACCACTGTGACCTGGTGTTTTCTGATACCTGCAGCCAGCCTGCCCCTCTGCTCCACTGTAAACCTGTGACGGCAGTGGAGGGGCTTGGCCTGGCCCGCCTACACAGCGAGGTCTTACCCTCTCTGGGTTCTGGGTGCGGTGTCACTTGAGCCGCGCTGTTGTACTGGGCTGCCCTGGAGGACAGAAGGTGCTGGCTTTTGGCCCCTGGGCTGTTTGCTCACGGGAGGCCTGCGCCAGGCCAGGCAGAGCAATGAAGTCCAAACCTCGTCTCTCAGGTCTGACTTGAGGCTGAACTGGGAGCAGGGCAGGAGTAGACCCTGTTGGATGCCACAGTTGTTCCAGACAGGGTCCCTAGAGAACGCTTGAGCCCCCATGGTCTAAGGTGGAACGTGGACGGGCCAATTTCTCCTGCCCGTGGACGCATGGCCCTTTCACCTGCCCTCCTATAGGCTGGAAACTGCCACAGCTCAGACAAAAACCAGCCAGGGTGGGGTCCTGAGGCTTCAGTCCCAGGCTCCTTAGGGCGCCC